TTTCATAGGTGATGTCGCATCTAGTTAACCCATGCTTATTTCAATACGTAATATTAGTCCCTCAAATTTAAGTTTCATAATAATATAAATTGAAGGATTTTTTTATGTTCCTTTGCCCCTAATGCTGAAACCTTTGAACTGTAGTTTTATCACACCGAGCAGAGATCGAAGCATAGTAGATCGACTTCTATGGATTCCAAAACATATATGTAGGATGAAATCAGAAGCTTGGATAGTTGAGTGGCTTTGCGTTTACGTATATGCTTTCAACATGAGATATTTGACCTCGTATATTTTTTCAATCTAGGGCTTTTTTTCTACGAGGAGTGCTCTTTCAATCCATGATAGTTTGGCTTCTATTGATTTTGAGGCTTTTATGTTGAAGGGAATCTGAAACTCGTAAATTTTTTGCTCTGTTCTGGAGCTTGTAGATGCTTGGCACCATACGTATTTCGAGACATTTATGTCATGGGAAATCTGGAGCTTCTAGATGCTTGGCTACATATGCATTCAGGGGCATTTATGTCGGAGGAATATAAAGTTTGTAAATGCTTGGCTTCATATGTAGTTATGTAGACATTTATGTTTGGGGGAGTTTGAAGCTTGTATAATGATCAGCTTATTGTTCATTTCAAGGCATTTAACCTAGAGAGAATTTTCTTGAGGCATTTTAGTTGATAATTGGCGTCTTATATATTCAAGAGACGTTTTATGTTGTAGGAATCTTCCTGAAGCGATTAAATCGAAGGGAATATAGCGCTTGTACATGTTTTGGATCCATATATATTTCGAGACATTTATATATGAAGGATGAGGAGGAGGGTGTCTACTACCTCCATTGTGATTTCTTAGCTATCAGTCGAAAGTAGTGAGGAATGGGTTGAAGATTGTGCTAGTCGACAACGGGACCTTGACCAACATTACCTTTAGGTCCGCTTTCGATCAAATGAAGGTAGACCATATGTTGATCAATGGTTCGGACCCATTGTATGTTTTCAATGGAGAAGGTGCCATGCCCAAGGGCAAAATAACCCTATCTACCGTTGTAGAAAACCATGCCTAGGACTACACGTATTTCTAGAATTCCTGGTAATGGAGAGCATATCTACCTAAAATGCGGTCCTCGAAAGCCCGTGCTGAAATCATAATGGTGAATACTATGATAGCAAAAGCATTATGACATCAATCAAGACACCCATAGTTGATAAAGATAAGGCTACATAGGAAAATGTCATAAATGACCTTGAATGTTAGGAATATTGGGCCTAACTCCACCTAATAAAACCGGCTTATTAGGGGAGGATTGCCCTCACCTTATTAAGTGGATCATTTATATTTTCCCAAACAATGTGAGATTCTAATACCTACTATTAATCATTTTATTCAATTTCTTACCTGGGCAATTGTCGTCATCATTTGCCACCCTCACTAAGCCTCATAATTTTACTCTTCCCGAGTTTTTCTCAAAACTTCTAGTGCTCGTAAACACCTATTTACTTCAATAATCATTATAGGTTTCTCTACAGTGATTGAGCAGCTTGGATGAAGGTATACATCTCTCTTCCACTGTGTGATGAAAAGTTGTTTGATAGCTTTTGAAGCAAAGAACATAATTACCTACTTTAAACGAGCTAATATTTAAGAAATAAAGAAACTGTGCAAGAAGTATGTCCCAAAGGAGAAACAAAGCAATTTAAGATATAGTCACCAAAGGTGAACCATTAGATGAAAACAGGTTAACCGCTAATTTATGACCCATTAACTTCGCATTTGTCTTTGAATTTTTAAAGCAATAAAACAATTTTCAACAAAAATCGAAACATGCCCTTTAATCATCTACAAATTTAAATATATCAAAAGTACAAGGCCTCTATTATTTTAAAAAACAAAGATGCAATTTTTTAAAATATCAAGCAACTGAACCCCCAACTCGGGCATTCTTACACTATCAAGTGGAAATCAACCATCAGAATTAACAAGCAATCAAATTCAAAACCACGCGATTCTGATTAGATCCATCAATTCAAGCTCAAGAATACAAGGAAATCACCTGAAAGTGCGGCAGAGCTTCGGAACACTCATTTTATGGAATAAATTGGATTTCAGTTGCTTAAGCCTGATACTAAAAACGGTAGCTGGGTTCACCGAATTCTCTTCAATCGGATCATCCGCCGATGCCGATGCCGTCTCCTTCTCGGCCATCACCACGTCCTCTTCTCCAGCACTTGGAATCTGGGGTTTATCTGAATTATTGTTCTTAGCAGCTGAAGAAGGAGAAACTTCGAGGGCAGGAGAGGATTACTCTTCAGAGTTGTTGGCACCAGTGATTGATGGTGCTTGTGCGGATTGATTAGACTACACACTGAGACATCTCCGTGTGCGCAGGAGATGACACGGAGACCATGGAGATAGGAGTCCGTGGAGACACGAAGACACTGTAGGAGAAATATTTTTTTGATTAATGCTACACTTACAAAATTGGTTCACATTTACTTTCACGTCCCCAATTTTAAAAATGGTGGGCCCCATCCTCTATGTAAGAGGAACGTGTGAAAATGAATGTGAACCCAGGTGTACATTTAGCATTTTTGTATTTTTTTTAATGTACGGAGACACAGAGACTTTTGTGTCTCCGAGCGCAATGGAGACTCGTATCTCCGTGGAGAGATGGAGGAAACACGGTCTCCGTCTTGGAGGGAAAGAATACAGTTCTTTCAAGTTATATTGGATAATCTTTGAATTTAACTATTTCACTTAGAGAAACGCAGAGGCTCCGCACACAGTGCGGAGGCACGACTCTGTGTCTCCGCACAATGTTCAAATTTTTTTTGTTATTTTTGTGCCACAAAAATTCTAATTAATTATATTGTACACAAACTAAATACTTTTATCTAAATATATGTAAAGAAATAAACTTGAGCGAAAGTAGCAGAAAGCGAATATTGTTAAAGATGCAAAAGTAACGAGGGAATGTTGTTACAGCAAACTTAAGCGAAAGTAGCACAAAACGAATATTGTTATAGCAAACTTATCTTATTATATAATAAGAACTTACAATGACATTGAAGAGAAACTCTCTAACTCTCTGTGCTGTTCGAGAATTCTACGTTTTGTTGGGTTATTTGTAGAATTCACACACGACAAATTCGAGTCGGAGACGACGAATAAAAAAGCATACACGAGTGTGAAATTGGTTGTTGCAATTTGTGGAGAGAGTTTACTATTTTACTGCACCAGAGGGAAATAAATTTTGGTTATCAATTGTAATACCTTTGGTTCTCCAATACAAAATATGCATGGAAGAAGAAGATATTTATCCAATTTCAACTACAAATCCCAATTAAAGATATTTTCGAATACCAATTAGTATAAATAGGGATTGAGGAAACATAATTTAGGGAATTAGGAAGTGACTGTAGCAAAATCAGATGAATTGAGTATAAATGTGAAAACTCGTGTGACATAAATGAATAGTAATCAAGTGATTGCCTCTTTTAAGAGAATGAGGGATAAGGTTGTGAATTACAATAAATAAGCTCCTCTATTTATGGAGCAAATAAGCTAAAAGAAGTTAAAAGGAAATAAACTTCTAGCCCTTGTTTGATCAATATTATTTTCAAAATACATTTTTATCTATCTTCTTTTCAACAACATGTTTTTCAGTAAAATAATATTACACGAAAATTCAAAATTTTTTCTTATTTTTTAACCACACATTTTTCATCAATCTACTATTCTAAAATTCATTCTTCAATAAAAAGGGGCTTTAATAATATCGCAATATCAAAACAAATATTATCTAATCTCATCAAATCTAATTAAGGGTGTTGGGCCACATTATTTTAAAAGAATATATTGGAATAGTAGATTGATGGTGAATGTGTGGTTGAAAATGAATAGATGAATGAAAATTTTAATGTGGCTCAAGGCCCCGTTCGGGAGGGATTAAAATCAAATTAAAATTAAAAATATGGTCGTTATTGGGTCCCACTCGTCTAATAAAAGTTAACAATAACGGCTATACTTTCAATTTTAATCAAATTTTAATCCCTCCCATACAAGACCCAAATATGTTTAGAATCAATCTCTTATTATCAAATCCTAAATAAATTCTATTTCTATCTTTATTCTTGTCATGATCTCCATCATTTGTCCCCAGTTGAGAGAATTCGACTCCGGTGAGGTAGACAAGAACTTCATACTCCAAAGACGTCTATATTTTATCTTGACAAAATATCTGTATTGAACCTTAGACAACATCAAGTGGCTCAACTCATACCAAGGAGGGCGACCATTTTTATGAACCAAATAACGAAACTAATCATGTGACAAGTGAACCAAACCAAATGATGGAAATCATGACAAGAATAAAGATATAAATAAATTTTAATTAGGATTTGATAATAAGAGTTTGATTCTAAACATATTTAATTAATTTCTTTAGATTAAATTAAATTATATAATATTAGTTTTGATATTTGGATATTATTAGAAGTTTATTTCCTCATAACTTCTTTAATTTATTTGTTCTATAAATAGAGGGGCTTATTCATTGTAATTCACAACCTGATTATATGAATAAAGATTGATTTTTCTTTGCCCCTCAGTTCTTCTCTTCTTGAACCCCTTTCTTTTCTTAATGTTCGATTGTTCTTTTACAAGTTATGCATTCCTGAGTGAATTTGATATCAAGGCAATTCATTCTCCTTTGGTATATACCTTATCAAATCCAAAAAAATCTATCTCTATCTTTATTTTTTTCAAGATCTCCATCAGATTGTAACCCTTGAGATGTTTCTCAGTTAGCCTACACCAAGGACTGCTCCTATTTCTGGCTACAAAATGTTGTATCTGGAGCCAACTCAATTCATGATATTAATCTGGTGTACATCACGGTTAAAACTGTCGAAATTTCAAATTCTAGTCAGGTATTACTTTTAGAAGAACAATTAAAATAATTCTTTTAATCAGAAAACTAGTTTCTCACTGTGCAGTTTATTTGGTTTTGACTGGGATAGGTCGGATTACTAGTTAGAGTTAGTTCTTGCACTTAATTGGTTCTTTTGTAGGTTATAATATATCAGATAAGCTGCGGCTGATTGGTACTCAGATCTTTTTGTTTTATCCGTTGAATGTCCCTATGGATTTCCTCAGTATTGATGTTTTGCAGTATTAGTTTATATTTTCTTCCATAATTGATACAAACACCAAGCAGTTTCTGAAAAACGTTATTTGATGGTTGCATTACAGCTTGTAAGTTTCTCATCTATTGAGCCTTCATTTTAAACTATCCATAGGTAAGTCGATGGGATAACTAATCCTGGAGCTGTACCTTGTTCTATTATTAATATAAGCCATGTAGAAAGGCAAAATATTGCTAGTCTGGCTAAAGATGGTGTCAGAAAGCTCCGGAATCGCCATATGCAGGTAAACGATATTATACCTCAACTGATTTCGATAATTTTAGATTTGCTTCACTTTAATGTTTAGGTTTCATGGTTTATATGCTTATGCTAGTCCCATGACTTCTTATCACGGTCATCCTTTTAGTGTTGATAGTTGTGCCATGAATGAAGAATCCATTTTATGCTTGAATTTCGTAACAATATAATGCATCTGTGCAGACATGTAAAACTCCAACACGTCCAATAACCCCAAGCAGCCTTTTGGGTGCCCTCTGCTGGTCAATATCTCAGCCAACTTCATCTGCTTCTATTTATACAAATTCTTCAGGTGTTGAGAATGCCGTTAAAAATCAGACATGTGAGTTCTTTGGGACAAAAGAGGACGTAAGGGAATCAGAGACTTCATTCGTGAACTTATCCCGACCCCTTACAGAAAGGTCATTTGAACTCTAATTTTTTTCTGCCAGTTCTATTGTCTTTTGTCGACTAGGACTTGTTGAATGTGCTTCTTCTCTCCCATTGGACGTGGAGTGAGAACCTGGGTCGCTACTTGTTTCTCTGACCGAGTTTTTGCATTTGTGGAGTCGATTGCAGTGAGAGTTAGCTGGGTCCTCGTTCAAGGACATTTTTCAGCGACAAATGCTTTACATGTTTGCAATTGTTGGATCATATCCATGCATTTTACCAGGTATTTGACTTATTGCTGTTTCTAACTTGGAAGAGTGGATCGTTAACCGTTTCGTGGGAGAATATAATGTACCACATAATTCAATGGCAAATACTGTTTTAATGATTTCACAACTGCTAACATCTTTCCAGGTGGTTTTTATTTATGCATCATTAGGGAGTGGTTTGAGATGGTACGATAAATATATACTCAGGCCCGGCCCTGAGGCGAGGCAAATGAGACCGCCGCCTCAGGCCCAAACGTGGAGGGGGCATCATTTTTTGGCCCAATTTTTTTTTTTTTTTTTTATATCAGACTAGCCCAACTCTGGAGGCACAATGATAACCTAAACTACTACACACTCGCTGAATCACACGACTTCCATCTCCTTCCCGCTCTCAATCTCAAAAATTCATTCAACTCTCCAACTCCAAGAATCCACCAATCAACTGTTCTTCAAGTCAACGCCGAAGTGGTGTTTTCCAGACTCCAGTGCAGTCTCCCACTCTTCTTCTTCCTTCCTTTAACCATTTCCCTTTCGTTTTTGGGCCTGTCCCTAATCAATAATCCATTTCGGCTTTCAAGTTCTGTCCGCCGCTGCCCGCGACCGTGATTCTCTCTTCAAGGCCGTTAGTCGTCGACGGTTGACTCTTCCTGCTCGTAGTGGACCAGTGGTAGTCTGGGTCTGCGACTGTGACTGGCGTGGCGTCTTCTGGAGTTCTACTGGTAAGTGGTATACAGTGAAACCATTGTCACAAACACGTTGGGAAAGTCATGTTGACAGTGTGAAGCCTGTAATGGAGCAAACTGCACAAATAAGAGATGCGTTACTTGAATTGGAAGTAAGTAACGAAGAGGCTAAAATAAGAAGTGAAGCAGGGTCGTCAGCAACGAAT